AACAAACTATATTTTCCTAATAGATGGTACAGGCATGAAATACCCAAGAAGCAGTCATGAGAAATCTGAACCTTTCTCGGGTTTTCTTTGTGTAAATAGGAGGCATTTTTGTCTATGTAACCCTCAGAGCACAGAACCAAGCATGAGAAATCTGAACCTTTCTCGAGTTTCCTTTGTGTAAATAGGAAAATTGAAATCCTTTGCCACACATCTGAACCTTCCAAGAAGCTGCTATCAGGGTTACACAAAGCCAACAAAAACTACTCTGAAAATTTCATTTATAGCTAGAGAGCTTGATCCTGACAAGCAAAATAGACAGTCATGTTTTTATTTGACAAAAGATTTTGGCATATTTACCTCAGTTTAATTAAACCTCCAACGGGGATGATGCAGCCATCGTTGCAAAAGCTTCACCAGCATCAGAAGTTGGAGCACCCCGCTGAAAGGGATAAGGTACTCTTATCCTGTCATTGTAGTAGAAGAAACAGAGACGTTCATGTTACTAAACAGCAAGGTTGGTGCAAATGAAATAAGCATATCTTTAGAAAAACAGCAGCAGCGGTCGAGGATACCTAGCGCGGCAGTCGCCTGCATATGGTGTCTGGCCATCCAGGTGGCCATGGTGCGTAGGATACAGCGCGGCCGTTGAAGTCAATGTTGTCGATGTCCATCCCTTCCCCAGAGAAGCTCCTAACCCCTGCACACTGCTAACAATAGCTCTCTATCGTGGGTTAGTTCTCTCGCATGATCAACAGCACACCCATCGGTAGCTCGCATTAGATTTAGAGTATCAAATATAGTAAAGTTTCAAACAATATGAGCACTGTCCTAACCAGCCCCAAGATACTTATGTGGTTTTAGAATTCTTTCCCTGACATAAAATATTTTGAATTTCCTTTGCCCATATTAATATATACTCCCTCCGTCCTAAAATTCTTGTCTTAGATTTGTCTAAATACGGATGTATCAAGTCACGAGTATGTATCAGTGCCAAGCAGAGAATGCAAGTTTAGTCAGATAACCCACAACAGGGATATAGTTTTCAGCAAATAAACATCGTACTGGCCAAATTATATTAAGAAGTGAAATGTACAAGATTCACCTTATGCTTGGAAAGAGCCTTTCCAGCCATCTTTATCGGTCACCAAACACCATCATAAGTCTTGATGCTTGATGCTTGTTCTAAAAAAGCATAAATGGTTTATCAGTGATGCTTGATGCTTGTTCTAAAAAAGCATAAATGATTTATCAGTGCAATTGATTGAACATGTAAAAAATCATAATATACCTATTATTACTACGGGGAGGTAGCACTGTAGTGTTTTTAAGATATGCACAAATTTAGGAGCTTAGAGCTAATTCAGTTCAACCAAGTTGCCATTTTCCGGTGCTCATGTGGAGAACCTGAAAAAAAGGAAAACTGCACAATAGAGGCTATAGAACTTTCACAGGAAGTGCTCAACAATGCAATACCAAAATTTAATATAATGAGCGCGCTTATCTTTGAACCTAAAAAGGATAAGAATAGACACCCAGGACATACATATATATATACATAAAAAACAGCCACCTCATACCAACAAATCAGAAGAGAAATTTCTTCAAACAGGTTGTGGGCAAGGTGAGTAAATATACTAATATACTCCATATATCTACTGAAGTCCAAATGGACAGCTTGGCTGGTGAGCTTATAGATCAGGTACGAGCTTCTCGTAAAAAGTAGCAATCTAGGATTTTAAGTCTTTTTTCTAGTTGCCAACGCAAACAAGCTAAAAAAATTTAACAAGAAAAAATGCAAAGAGGAAAAAGAGGGCACAACCATCCACGCAGATGAACCGCCTTAAAGTTTTCTAGACTCATACGATCTATGGTCATGCCATCACCATTAGAACATGTACGCATCCAAGGAAAGGCCAGCCAGCGAGCCGCCCCGTCGATCCAGATGCATCAGCGCCGCGATCGGACCAAGGAGCCGCAGCGCCGTCGATGCCATGGTAGGGACGCCCGCGCCTGACGCCACCGAGATGAGCGGCGG